AATCCAACCGGGATCCGCACAATCTCTGAAAATTTCATAAAAATTGATCCCACGGTTTCATGGTTTCAGTTGGTTGCCGGTTACAAAGAATGGACCACAGACGGACAGATAGACACGTAAAATATTTATTCAGAAAGTTATGAAACGCAAAATGGAGTGGAAATTTAAATTTTGTAGAAGTACACATTAAAGAAGGATAATGAATTAATACAATAAAATTGTTCAGAAAAGTCTGAAACGAAAATGCGAGTGAAAATCTAAATTTTTTAGGAATACACATTAAAGAAGGATAATGAATTAATACAATAAAATTGTTCAGAAAAGACTGAAACGAAAAATGCGAGTGGAAATTTAAATTTTGTAGTAGGAAAATTGTTTCGACTTCTCGCATGAATACAAGGCTTCCTTACTTCCGGTAGTTCGGAAGCAATACACAATAGGAACATCTTGGGTTTATACACAAAAAGTAATAAAAGAATAACTGCAGTTGAGGTTTATGAAATCGGATAAAAAAAAGTTAAGACCATCAATGGTTTTGATAAAACCCATGCAACAATGTTCATGTTTCGGCACATCCTTCCATGCTCAGGAAAGGTTAAAAACCAATTTCATATATTACTGTTTATATTCGCATTATATTGTATCTAATTTTAAATTGTAATGTTAATTTTTAGTTGTCGTTGATGAAGGACGAGAGAGTCATGAAATATATACCAGTTGTACAAAAAACTGGTTGTTTCCTCCCACTATTTAAAAAAAAACCTGACCACAAGTACAACAACTTTGAGGAAAAAATGGGCTAAATCTGAATTTATTCCAAGAATGACATGTTTTTTGTATTGGGTTACTACCATCAGGTATTTGATGAAGTGAAAGCAGATCAAATAACTAAAAGAAGAAAATATCTCTTACTATTTATAAAGACACAGCAATAAAGATGAAAAAAAAGAAAATATCCACTTTAAATATTCTCAAGACCAGGTCAGTTGAAAGCGAAGAACAAACAATTTTAACTGTGCGTCCATTCGGGCTTTATTATTTATCAGTCTTCTATCTACCGTCAACATAATTAACAACATAATTCTCACGGGCAGTCTCAACATGACACCCAATAATTACACAGAAACAAACTTTAAGTGAGTACAAATACTTTTGAGTTTAAAATTTCTAGCATTATATAAATTCATTTTTTTTTCGCATCCTGTGTATTTATAAAATTTCAACAATGTTTATATATCCCAGGTCCTGAAGATGATCTCAATAAAGATCGAAACGTTGGCACGACATAGAAAATGTTTTCTAAAACCTACGGCACACCAGACCGCATCTCACGTTCTACAAATAATAATTAACTGAAAGGAAACGAAGCGTCGTAATATTTATTATTCTCCCAAAGCTCATATATTTTGAAAATCCGATATTGTTTGTTAATCATTGAATAATTTATGATTAGACGCACTATTAAATAATCACTCATTCGATAATATTGCATGGTTTATGTAGGCACATTTCATCCTCATTAATTATAGCCGCCTTTTGACTTATGAAAAATTGTCGGACGATTTCCTTCCGCAGTGGCAAACAGGCTGTCCATAAATCTAGTGCACTCGTTTAGAAATCAACAGCGGAGTGAACCGAACGAGTGACGAGTTTTATTTTCCCCGAGCAACAAGTCGAACCGGAAGGGCTAACAGTCGGAAAAGCGTCCGAACTGGCCTTCCCACCGGCTGAGGACAATGCTAGCAACTCGTGCTTAAATCGCTTGCACACGAACAACGGATAAATTGGTGCCGGCCTGCTAAACTCGAGCTTACGCCTCTTTCGTTTTTACTGTCGGGAAAACAATTCACACCCAAATCGGCCGTGCTACTTTTGCTTTTTCCTTTTGTTTATATTAAATAAGTGACAGTACGACCAGTTTTCATGAAAGGAGAAAAAATCTAAAGGACATCGTATTTTGATCATCCAGTTCAAATCTTGATTAAAATGAACATTTATTCATTTACCACTTGAAATGTGCTGCAAATATCCAAGTTTTGGTATTAGTGAGTGGGAGCTTTTTGGTGGGCCTGACAAGGGCCGGTGTTGTTTGGAAGCGTAGCGTTGAGTCGATGTATCGGGGCAGGACTGAGTGTGAGTGCCTGTTGATAGAGAGAGCAGTTGGCTGAGGTCCGGGGCCGTGAGTTGCATCGGTTGAAGGGACTCTGGAACAGCTGTTAGCCGAGTGAAGCGGTGGGCGAGTTATGGCTAACGCTGAGAGTCCGTTGCCATCGTCGTAGGGGGTTCATTCGTGATAAGCGAGAACTCGTCAGAGAAACAAGTCTGCTATCGTAGCCGATTAGTGATTAGTGAGACCTCGTCGGATTGGACGAGTCTGAGGGTACGAGTGAGACCTCGTCGGGTTGGACGAGTCTGAGGGTACGAGTGAGACCTCGTCGGGTTGGACGAGTCTGAGGGTATGAGTGAGACCTCGTCGGGTTGACGAGTCTGTATTTAGTGGGGCAGTGCCCCTGCTTATATACGCACAGGCTCTGCTCAGCTTCGCTGCACAGTGGAGGGCGAGACCATTCCAGAATTATAGGGTTCCACTACATGATTTTATTCTTTAAAAGTTATCTTGGGCTCTTATTGCTATTATCATTAGTGATATGTTACTTTTGGTTATGTTGTGTTATAGATGAGGATTCTAGGTTATTCTTCTTCCCATATGGTACGTAAAATGAAAGGAAATCATTGTAATATCCAGTTCAGGAAAATAGAAGGTTTCAGGGTGAATGGATGTTGTTCTGCAAGAAATAGTGTATGAAGAAAACAAGGGTTTGTCCTTAACCCCGTACTGTTTACCATGTACCAGATTTTACGCCTGATCGACACTGGTGTCTGGCATTACGAGGAGTAAAGTGCGCGTGATGTATATGTGTATGAGATTAGCTCCATCAATCAATTAGTGCAAACAGTTTGTTATTGTCAGTGAACCGTGGATGATATAGGTCTCATGACGTTGCAATCCAATTAATTAAGCAAAAATACGAGGTCAGACGTCTGATGGAAATGGCAAATGCTTTGTGTTTACAGCTAACCCATCTCGGAAAAAAATATGGGGTAGCTGTAAACGTCATCAAAGATGTACTGTAGGTCCATTAATGTTACCTGATAACAATGCCATTGATTTTCTCACTGTAGCAACTTAACTGACAATATTAACAAATTGGAACAGCTTTACAAGCAAATGTTTTTCTAGGAGTTATAATATGTGGTGCTAAGATATTTGGGATCGTTATTTTACACCCCCAGGGGTGGTACTTTCAGATTATTTTTCTTAGTCGAAATCGAAACCGTAACTTACATATAAACGTACATAGAAATTATTCAATCGATACAATTTACTTTATGTTAATGTTTTTCATCAAACTTACTTAGAGTCATTCAGTCGTTGAAAGAGCGCGAATATCTTCGTTGAACAATAGTAATATCGCTTGTCGGGTCAAAATGTTTGAGGGGCTCGTGTGGTCGATGTTATTGGATTATCATAGAATCGGTTGCGTTAGGGGGAACACCCAAAAGGCCAAAACAAAACCATCTAATCTAATCTCCCGTCTTGATATTTGGCGACGTCCAACCCTTTGCCGTCCGATCGTCACACTTCTGGACTTCTGATATCAAACTGCGGTATTTTTCCGCCGTATACCGCCGAGAATATTCTTAAAGCAGTACAATGCGTACAAACTTGGGCAGAAGATGGACATTTAAAAAGGGGAGGAAGCAGGTCGCGTGTCGGTTATCTCCTTTCTTGGTTTTCTGTGATAACTTTTTTCGCAGGCCAGCCGCCCTCTCCGATTGATTTCGTCACGAATGTTGATTATCCGAGGCGTGTTTTCCCAGATCCAACCCCCTTTTTTCTTTACTTCTCGGCCTTTCTCTATTTTTAGAATGAATAAACACTCTTTTGTTTTTTGCTTTTGTTTAGGAGACGGGATTGCCGTTGCGTTAGCCAGGAGATTATAAGGGGGACGTTATGCTCAAATCGGGTGGAAAAATACCGAAATTACCTTAGTCCCCTTCATTAACTAGAGATTACAGCATTTCGTTGTTAACATGACCTTTAAAAAAATCAGTTTGTTGTTGCGAACTTGCTTCCAAAAATTACACTTCATTTCATCCTCTAATTTTCAAGATTAACAAAGTTTCTATTATTTTATTTTTTCTAAAATATCGGAAAAGCAGTAAATTTTTTCTATCTACTCTCAATGTTCAAAAAAGCTTTTGTTTTAATGATAATTGCGGTTGAGTTAGAGCACTAAAATATTTGGATTTCAGATGGCACGGCGGATTTTCTGATAGAAAAAATAAAATAATGTAAGGAAAGTAACTAAAAGCCTTTTTATGCATATCTTGGTTAGGAATGTTGGTTGAAAATATTGATACGACTACTAAGTGTGCGATTTTAATGGAATTCAAATTTTCAATGCTCCACCGGCTTCCTTTTCAGAGGTTTTGAAGTCCAGAAACGAAAGACAAAAAACTTGTAGAAAATGAAATATAAAACTATGGTGGTACTATTTCTATTATTTCTAAAGCTGGGCGCACACCAGATCGGTGGCGCGGCGCGGAACCACCCCCCAAGAAGAATACACTGAAATGAATCTAACCCCGCCCACTAGCCGGAGGAAGTTGCCGGACTTCTGGAACCCGGCTCCGCGCCGAGCCGCGCTAGGCTTAATGTGCGCCAAGGCGGTCGGAAATCGTAGAGTTTGGGTGTATTCGGCTGCCCTCGGACGCCATATTTGTAAAGACGAAGCCAACGATTGGACGAGGGGACTCCTGGAAATGCAAAATCAACACTCCGCAGCGCTAGTCAGATGGAGAGGGAAAATTCGAGCAACGCGGCCGGGAGCAGTTCTTACATAGTGTGCGGACCTTCACAATTCCGCGCCCCACCGACCTAGTGTGCGCCCAGCTGAATAGTCTTATAGTGCAATAGAACTATGGTTGTATCTTACCTGTAGCCAAATAGTGTGTCCATGCGGGAGCAGCAAATCCCTGGCGACGTCGTTCACCGTTGTCGCTCTGTTGAGGTACACCAAGGTCCCGTTGGAACCCGGTTCCTGCGACACCCTGATCCATCCGCATCCTTTGCCCACGCTCACTTCGCTCTTCATAACATCACAGGAGGGTCAGCTCCTCCTAGAACAGCTGAACAGCATTTAACATTAATATGTTAGTATGAAATATTTGGAGGCTATATTGGATGTTCTTCCTCTACCCAATTGCAAATCTGTAGTTGTAAAACATTGTGACGATTCTTTCAACGGGCAAGATCTCTTCCGATCATAAATTATAAATCAAAATTAAATATTTCATGGTCTACTGACCAAATTACTTCTTTCAATTACTGAATCGTTTTATGTCAGGTTTCTGGTTGAAATGAAAAAGCTAGTGCCACGCGGAGATTCGAACCCACGACCTTTGGCTCAATACGCCGCTGCTCTACCACTTGAGCTATCGTGACTTCGATCCGTTCGGACACTAACATCCTTTCTCCACCTCGCCTCTCGAATTTTCTTTCCTTTTTCCCATTTTTCAAATGTCGTGTAATCAGCATTCGATTCTCGCCGACAAATGAAATGGCCACGGAGAGCTGTTAGTTAAGCTATACTTCATTTTATTTATTAAATCCATTAAATTTAGTGGTATATTGACAAAATTACTTCTTTCAATTATTTAATCTTTTTATGTCAGATTTCTGGTTGAAATAAAAAAACTAGTGCCACGAGCGGGAATCGAACCCACGACCTTTGGCTCAATAAGCCACTGCTCTACCACTTGAGCTATCGTGACTTCGATACCTTACAAAAATAGATTAAGCAATAAATGATAAATATGGGAGGTCAGGGATGAAGCCATGAAGGTAAAAAAAGAACCAACTTGTTTTTCTAGTTAAGGTTTTGGCTGTATATAAGGACTCTATTTAATTAAGAACAATTTTTTCATTACAGGGTATTCATATAAAAATTATAATGAACATTCAACGAACTTGCTTACCAATTAAAAAAAAATCTTGATTAGCCCGGGCATGTGGTCCCAATAGACTATAGTGTAAGTAGTCCTCAAAATCCTGTTATTTGAGAACATACCTCTTTAACTTGAGTATTACTTATAGTTCTACTCTTAATTAAATAATCATTGTTGTTCAATCCTTTTAAAAAAAGATAGTTCCTACTCATAGTAAGTTGTTTTCCAACGTCCGGATTTCGAGCTTTTAGCTCATCATCAGGTTGAAGGAGTTCTGCAACCACGCCTCTCGACATGAATTGCAAAAGTGAACCCGCCGATACCCCCGCCAACGCGACGTTCCAATGAGAAGCTGGTTTTTAATGCCGCTCAATTTTGAACGTGCGAAAAGCGGGAATTATAACAAGTGAATATTATATTAGTAAATAATGTAAGAAATTAATTATAAATTAGTGTAAAATAATAATTATTTGGTCGTTTAATATTATTTATGTTCATATTTAAAATGGGAGGTAGATCAAAATCTATTATATTATTAATGCATTTATCTCCATGTGCAATTTTATATTTTTTTAATTTCAATTTCTCAAACCAATCTAGTTCTCTTCCTTTGTTGAAACTCTGTAACACTGTTGTGTTTAAATTTGAATTGAAATTGTTTTGTTTCTTTTAGAAGGTCCTGAAATTCCGAAAATTTGTTCGATCATTCAACGCACTCACTCCGTCTACTTTCCTGTGATAAATCTCTGTAACCAAAGAGTATCATTTAAAGACATTTTGTGAACCATTGGCATCATTGTTGTGTGAGACAGATAACACGTGGTTCTATGAGGACCACATGCCCGTGCTAATCATGATGTGTGTTCTTTTTAAATAGCTTTTCTAATAAGTTTTTTCACTATAACTTTTATGTATATAACCTGTAATAAAAAAATTTCTCTTAATTCCGGAAAAAGGCGTTAAATTCAGTCGAAAATTTGACATTAGAAAAAAATGTGTGGTGATTAGTGACCGTTAATCGATAATTATTCAGAAATCGTGAGATGCGGTCTGGCTTTTTTTTATGGCTTCATCCTTGAGCTCCCATCTTTATCACTAAATGTAAAGACGACATGGTATAAAAAGACTTTAGGCTTTAACCTACCATTTTTATTCTTTACCATGAAGCAATTAGATATGCCATGATGACTCAGGTATCTAGACAAGCAAGGTCTATGTCAAGTGGATTATCGAAGAGATTGACCTTTCATATTTGGTAAATGCTAAATATTTTCTCCTGCACCAGGAGAACGCAAGGCCAGACATTTCACGTCAAAACAAACTTCATTAATCATACGGACCGACCTCGTTTCTTCGGGCTATCAACTCATTCCGGTGTTCGGTGCTAACTACTGTGGTGCCAACAAGGGGCAGAATTTCGGTTGTATATTATCTTAAATCATTGTACAGGAAAGGGATTCACTGGCACAAAGTTACGTTCAGGTGTTTCAAAGTAAACATCAAAAGCTGTTATTCTAACAATTGTTAGAACGGACATTTATGACAACCGGTCGGATCTTATTCACATGAGACAACTTACAAATTAGCTGATGTGTTAGAACAATTTTGAAAAGAGTAGTAAATATAGAAGCAAATAGACAAGATTATGCATAGGTCGTACAAGTATAACGCACAGGCAGATTTTCGCCGGAAAGCTATCGCGTTCCGGTTTTGCAATCATAAAATAATGGTCAAGGACATATTCAATTGTAGAAGGCTTGTCGTTTAAAGGCGATATTTTGATATATAGTCGAACCAGTGCGTGGTCATGGGACACGAAGACGCTCTTCGGTACCTCAGTGCTATAAGCATTTTTAAGTAAACGTAGTGTTTGTTTGATTTGTTCCTGCGTTGTGTTTTTGTTAATTTATTGGAATAAATGTAATTTAATAGCGTGAACGGAGGGGTTTCTTTACCATTCACCAAGGAATATATAATATTTAGAGAAGTGTATGTATCCAGACTTTCACGCTTGTACCGGATATTGTGTTTATGTTAATTTACTGGCGTGAAATGAAAGGTTTTTTAACCTCGCTCCGAGTAATCGAATACTCTGGGGGTGAGTGTTCAACTCCGCCACGCAAGGAATATATAAAAGAATATATAACTATTCTGTAGTTGACAACCTGAGGTACAAATGAGTGGCTAGCATTTTAGGATGTCGGCTTAGTTTTCATACAAAAGCAGAGAGTCAGATATAGATCGAGACTCTGAAGTGGCTGCAGGTTGAAAAATAACCGTGAAAGATCAGAAAAAAGAAGCAAAAACGCGCAGAGGGCCGAGTGACGACCTCTGTTCCTTATCGGCCCCAAAACTTCCTACATTATATATAATAATACACACATTTGTAAAATTTATCCTTAAACCCTTGCTGGCAAACACCTTTTATTTTTTAGTGAAGATGTTGTGCTAGAGGTGCAACGTTTTATTTTCAATTTTCAATTTGTTTCTATCAATGTTGGAGGGATCTGTTGCTACTCACGTCGGACTATTTGGCTACGTATTTCTTTATTTTGTGGTGGCTGTTTTTATTTTTAAAAAAAATGAGAAATTGTTAACTTGTTCTATTGCCGCTTAGTAGGGTGCATATAGTCCACTCAATGTGGAACTGCAACGACGACGGGTGGTACAATGTGGTTAATCTTATCCACGTCCCTCTCTCAATCCAGGTTCCTTCATTCTTCCCTGTGACCCATCCCAACCTTGGTTACAGGGGGGGGGGGTTGTCCAGGCGCAAAATAATGGTGCAGCTCTGAGTGCGTGGCAACTTGTCTAAAGCACAAGCCTCCGGTCGGAATGGGGCGGCGGGTGTCTTATCAGAGGCACACGAGGGTTAGGGTACCAGATCCTGTCTGCATAGACGGGGGAGGGTGCATAACCATCTGTACTACGGGGTAACAGAAATGTTCCAAGGTTCAGCCCCTGTTACACTGGGAATGGGCTCATAGTGGCTTAGTGGTGAGACTCCTGGCAGGAACATAGAATGAGCCTTTTCTTCGCGGATACCATTATCGGTTTCTTTCCAAAGGCAGAGTTCCTCTAGGGGGTGGTTAGAGGAACTGTTGGAGAAGTCCCAATACTCTGGGAGATAGAGTTGTCTTCTCTGTATAGGGAGGGCGGCAGTAAACCGGTTGTTGTGTTTCAGTCTACTATGGTACCCTTTTCCGGGCGGTACACGGACTGGTGCTTAACGCAGGCTCATCCATTCGGAATCGACAAGCGGAGAGTGAGGTCTGACTTGGTCCGTCGGGACCGGGACGTCTTCTACACCGAAACATGCGGCTGTAACATACGCCAGTCGCAAGCAGACATCATCTCTCATCTTGCGAATCAAAAGTCCGATAAGGAGCGGATCTTCTTGTCCTTTTAAGGGCTAACGAGTATATACGGGTGCGACCGCTCCTCCTTAGGGGCAGAAGGTGTTGTATGTAAGAACAGGCCCAGAAAATGAAAATTAAAAAATTTATTTAATTAGTTTAATTAGTAAAGCAATTAGTAAGCAAAACTAATCAAACTTTAATTGAACATGGTTGCTTGAACTCTCTAAATCCAAGAAGAATTCGACTCTATTTTTCCGAAAATACCAAAAGCGTCCTATCCAGTTAATTAGGTAAATTTTAGCCATACCATATATCACCAAAGGTTAGGTGCTATGATATGTAAGGGACGTCAAAAAAGCGGTTCAAACCCTTGACCATTTTGAATTCGACCGCCAATAAGTTGAGTGACCGATGAGAAAATATATGAATAAAATCTTGAACAAGCGTTAAAATATAGTACTGTGTAGGATGTACCTGTAAAGCTTATCAATAAAAAGACTATAAACAAATGAAAACTAATTCATAATTCACTACTTTCGTGGTCCGCTTGACCAATACATGACAATTAATTAAGGTCTTTAGTTGAGATGAAAAAAAGTTAATGGCACGAGCGGGATTCGAACCCACGATCTTCGGCTAGATATGCCGCTGCTCTACCGCTTGAGCTATCGTGACCTCGATCCACTCGGACATAAACTTCCTATCTCAACCCCACCTTATGAGTTTTCCCTCCTTTTGCCATTTTTCAATTTTTTCAGGTGGTGTTGAGATAGGAAGTTGATGTCCGAGTGGATCGAGGTCACGATAGCTCAAGTGGTAGAGCAGCGGCGTATCTAGCCGAAGATCGTGGGTTCGAATCCCGCTCGTGCCATTAACTTTTTTTCATCTCAACTAAAAGCCTTAATTAATTGTCATCTAATTCATAATCTTAGATCATTCCTGCAAAAATCGAAAAAGTAAAAGTAGAACTTCCTGCTGGCCACTTTCGCACCACAAATGAAGTGCACCTTGTCAAATGACCTAACGAAATCATATTCTCTTTTTATTATATTTGTAGGTACTATGTCTAGGTACCCTCTTTGTCGATGGAAGGATGTATATTGTAATGGAAAATCTTAGCTCTAAGCTTTTAATATTTATCTAGCTTTAATCAGACATGCTAGAAAGCGTAATTTGAGAATTCTTCACCGTTTTTTAAAAATCCATTTTCCGATTGGTGTTTCCCTTTCGGAAGCCAACCCTTTCGATTGTTTGTTTAAGGAAGGACAGAGGGCCCCGTGTATTGGCAGCAAGGGGGATAGGTTATTGGGGGATTGTTCGAATGGGGCTGTAGGAAAAAAGGAAATTTATAGCGGATCCGGGGATTTATCGCATGTATATATCGTCAGGACTGTCGACCCACAGCCGGCCAAGAATGTAGGCCGAGAAATGGAAAAGAAGACGATATTGAGTTTCGATCCCACCATT